AACTGGAAAGGTACATCAGTGGAGTCTGTGGGAACAAATGGTACAAGAAGAATGAGAGTGGGTGGGATCACTGGTACTGTCATGGAAGGGCTTGGGCAGGGGAAAAGGAGAAGACCTGTCTGTTCTACTCACTGGAGAGTTTACCTTAGAAATTCCAGGCCACACTGGTGATAAGGATGAGGATATCAGAGAGAATAATTCTGTGATAGTGAGTTACTATGGACCAGCTTCATGATTTGCTCTCCTTGGTAACTCAGGTCAAGTGTAGAAAAGAACTGCCTCCTTTCTTCCTTCTGAACTCAATCTCACCTTTATCCTTTCCCCCTAGTATCACTTTTTGGAATTGCCGCTATCAACACTTAGGAGGGTAGAGGAAAATGAGTTGGTTAGCAAATTAATGGGCAACTAATTCTGCAGTCGCTGAAATGCATTGCTGGAAGACAACACACCTATCACTTCAACCAAAGGCTCACTGGGTGCCCCAGCAGTGTGTCCTAGAAGGACCCAGTAACACTGTCTTCTTCTCACTGTGGGCCATGCTACCTGGTACTTACACAGCAAGTGTCTCATCAACCTCAGAAGGAATAAAGTTGATCTACTTTTGCCTTGCCTGCAACAAACTTAAATGTTAAGATTCATTTTCCATTGGTTAACAAGACCATATTTGAGATATTTCCCCATGATCGCAGTTTATAAACTTACAGAATGTAAATTAATTGTATTAACACTTCATAAACAAAAAAACGATGACGAACCAGTACCAAAATAGAAACGATTATCAACAATCCCCATCCACATATATACTGTCATCTTGGTCAATCCTTAGCAGGGAAGGTTTCTGAATTCCCACTCTCCCCTTTCCTCCATGGCAGACATGATTTCCCATAATCTCTCTCCACTTTTGGTCATTATGGTTTGCAATACAGACCCTGAGAGGTCATCATGTTTAGTCCTTTATCTACTTTCTGCACACATCTCCCATCCCGGTCGATTCCTCCAGCCATATTTTTCCTAGTAATCCCTTCTCTATTCCAATTGCCTTCTCCCCTTTGCTCATGAGACAGATTTCCAGCTATGGAACAATCTATCTGCCCCGTGTATCTACTATCCTCAGGTGTCAGTCTCATGTTATGTTGTTTTATACTCCACAAATGAGTACAGTCCTTCTATGTCTGTCCCTCCGTTTCTGACTCATTTCACTTAGCATGATACTCTCCATGTCTATCCATTTATAACCAAAGTTCATGACTTCATCTCTCCTGACAACTGCATAGTATTCCATTGTGTAGATGTACCAAAGTTTCTTTAACAAGTCATCTGTTCTAGGGCACTTGGGTTGTTTCCAGATTTTGGCTATTGTGAACAGTGCTGCAATGAACATATAGGTACAGAAGTCATTTCTACCGTGCTTTTTTGCATCCTTGGGATATATTCCCACAAGTGGCATTGCGGGCTCATATGGAAGCTCAATTTCTAGTTTTTGAAGGATTGTCCATATTGTTTTCCAGAAAGGCTGGACTAGTGGGAATTCCCACCAACAGTGAAAGAGTGTCCCTTTTTCCCCACATCCAAGCCAGCACGGGTTGCTTTTGTTTTTTGGATGTGTGCCAGTCTCTGTGGTCTGAGATGATATCTCATTGTTGTTTTGATTTGCATCTCCCTGACGGCTAGTGATGTGAAGCATTTTTTCTTATTCCTTTTGGCCATTTGTATTTCTTTCTTGAGGAAACTTCTGTTCATTTCTTCTCCCCATTTTTTGATGGGGTTGGAGGTTTTTTTTCTTGTACAATTCTACTAGTGTCTTGTATATTCTGGATATTAATCCCTTTTCAGGGATGGAGCGATAGCACAGCGGTAGGGTGTTTGCCTTGCAGGCGGCCGGCCAGGCCGAGCCAGGTTCGATTCCTCTGTCCCTCTCGGAGAGCCTGGCAAGCTATTGCCCGCACAGCAAAGCCTGGCAAGCTACCCGTGACGTATTTGGTATGCCAAACACAGTAACAAGTCTCAAAATAGAGACATTACTGGGCCCGCCCGAGCAAATCGATGAGCAACAGGAGGACAGTGCTACAGTGCTACAGTCAGATGGACATTGGGTGAATATTCTTTCCCATTCTATTGGCTCTTTCTGTATTTTGGTCATTGTTTCTTTTGAAGTGCAGAAACTTCTTAGTTTGATGTAGTCCCATTTGTTTATGTTTGCTTCCACTTGCATGGTCAGTGCTATTTAATCCTTAAAGATGTTTTTAACTTCAATGTCGTGGAGAGTTCTGCCTACATTTTCCTCTATGTACCTTATGGATTCATGTCTAATATTGAGGTCTTTAATCTACTTTGATCTGACTTTTGTGCCTGGCATTAGGTCAGAGTTCATTTTTTTTGCAGGTAGCTATCCAGTTTTCCCAGCACCACTTGTTGAAGAGACTTTCCTTGTTCCACTTCACATTTCTTGCTCCTTTGTCAAAGATTAAGTGGTCATATACTTGGGGGTCTGTGACAGAACATTCAACTCTGTTCCATTGGTCTGCAGGTAGTATGGCCACACCTAGCAGTGCTTGGGTTATTCCCAGCTTAGTGCTTGAGGGTCACTCTAGCAATGCCCAGGGAACCATGTAGCACTGGAGACCAAACCTGGGTTTCCTGCATGCAAAGCATGGGCTGTGGTCCATTAATCTCTCCCCAGTCCCACTTATTGCCATATTGGGATATATCCTTGTACATTAACTGAACTGTACAGGTTTAGACAGAAGTCTGATTCCTAGACCTTGGAAGTAGATTTGACCCTACTTAAAAACTGATTGTAATGTAATAAGTTTGGGGTTATCTTGTTCCCTTCTAAAATCCTCATCTACCACTTTAAAACGTCCCAAAAGCCTCACATGGAAAAGGCATGGAGGCTCCGTAGAGCCCCCACTTAAACTTGCTGTTAGCATCAATTAGGAGGGGTTGTTAATGGGTCTATACAGCACTGATTTATTTAGAGAGCGTCATGTGTTTGAGAGCTGCCTTGGAGAGGAATGGAGCTAAACAGAGATACACACTTCATGCCCACTGGGCTCACATAAAAGGGAAAAAATACGCAATAGGGGTTTACCTCAGTGGGGTGAGGTTTGATATTTTCCAGATGGCAACACCACAAGTGAGTTCAATAGAAATATCTTTAGAAAAAGATGCTCAAATATTAAATAAGCAATGAATATACATCCAGCCCTGAGCTGCTGCATCTCTTCCCATCTGGGCTGGGAGTGTCTCTTGTCCCTAGTTGCAGATGGGGTGGTCTCCTCTGTCAGTGGGAGGCCCCATTAGATGTCCCATTAGGAAGATTATTCTGGCAGGGGAAGTTCTAGACTGGAACGTTGTTCACAAATAGATTCAGAGACTTTTATTTTTTTCAATTTTTTTTCCTGAGGAGAAGAGGGAAGAAGAAGAAAAGAGCCAAGGAAAGATTTTTCTTGATTGCAAAAATTAAAAAGTGCATGGCTTGTGAAAGATGAGGCATTTCCTTGGGAATCTTTGGAAAGGTCAGTACCTACAGAATTCATAAAAGGAAGTTGCTCAAAAATGTCCATCGTGTAGTAGCTCAAAAACAAGCTGAACGAGGCTCCAGAGAATCATTGATAAGAAGACAGGAAATTCAAAGAGAGCTCCTTGGGAAGCAGGGACAAGTGAAACAACTATTTTACCTCAGGCACAAAGCAAGTTTGCATCTAAAAAAATTAAGGAGATAAGGAGTGCCCCACTCTATTGCCTGCTTTGCTCTTGCATGCATGCGCGCACATGCGTGTGTGTGTGTGTGTGTGTGTGTGTGTGTGTGTGTGTGTGTACGTTTTGGTAAATGAGGTTTAGCAGCCCCCAGAGGAGGAAGAGAAGGCTTCAAGTAAGGATTTACCTGGTGCTGGCATGATCCCCTTATATTCTTGTTACGGAGACATAAGACCATTTTACCAGGTTTGGGTTAAATTACAAAATGTCCCAGATAAATGAGTGCTTAGATGTGTGTCAGGCATGGTGCATTAAGAGTTTTAATAGTTGAGTGGTGTTAAGCAATGCCTTGAAGCCTCGAGGTTCTCCAGACACTGCAGACACACAGTAAAATAATATCCAAATGTATGTCACTGCAGACACACAGTAAAATATAATATCCAAATATCTTAGAAGCCTGAACCTCTATCATTGGTCTTATGCTAAGGTGAGAATTACTTGGCATACTTCTTAAATGACAAATTGCTGGACTCAGTCACAAGCTACTAAAACAGAATATTCTCAAAAAAAAAAAGTAAAAAATTCCACGTATTTACCAAATACTCCAGGTGATATTTTATTTATCACCAAAGTTCACCACCTTGAGAGGCTTCTGAAAATTGCCTGTGCCCATGCTCAGCACCCTGACAGGGTATGAGAGGGCCCAGTCATCAGTATTTTCCCACATTTCATCCAGTGATTCTAGTAAGTCAGAGGTTACTTCTGGACCCCACAAGAGTAGTGTCTTGATAACAAGGGGTATTGGTCAGGCTGCCTGGATGTCACTCTTGTCAGACAATTCATTTGACATCTCTAAGCCTTAGTTTCCTTGACTCTAACAGAGAAACCACATATGTGCCCCTCCACACATGATTTTGAGGGTCAAAGAGTTGTTTCAGATACATAACATGTTGCAGCACTCAGTAGATTTTAGCATTCACTATCCTTTCCATACTTACCTCCATCAAACCCAATGATGAACATTAGGTCTTTGGAAAATACAATAAAAAATAAAATGGTCCTCCCGTTGTTCATCGATTTGCTCGAGCGGGCCCAGTAACGTCTCCATCATGAGACTTGTTACTGTGTTTGGCATATCAAATATGTCACGGGTAGCTTGCCAGGCTCTGCCATGCAGGCGAGATACTCTCGGCAGCTTGCCGGGCTCTCCGAGAGGGGCGGAGGAATCGAACTCGGGTTGGCCATGTAGGCCGCTTGTAAGGCAAACGCCCTACCACTGTGCTATCGCTCCAGCCCAAAATATAAAATAAGAGTACATTATTTTTATTCTTATGATAAAAAGGCCATGCTAATCTTCTCCGTATCATTCCAATTTTAGTATATGTGCTGCCGAAGCTGGAGCGATAACACAGCAGGTAGGGCATTTGCCTTGCACGTGGCCAACACAGCTGACCCGAGTTCGATTCCTCCACCCCTCTTGGAGAGCCTGGCAAGCTACCAAGAGTATCTCGCCCACATGGCCAAAGCCTGGCAAGCTACCCATGATGTATAGAATATGCCAAACACAGTGACAAATCTGACAATGTTACTGGAACGGCTCGAGCAAATCGATGAACAACGAGAGGACAGTGACAGTGGCACTGACAATAAAAAGGCAGGTACATATTTAATATAAAATCCGAACTCCCCTCACCGTGGCTACCAGGCAGAGGTGTTACTGCTCTCTACTTTTGGGCTCCAAACAATCTACAATTCTTTTGGTTCTTTGATCATTCTCTGTCCCATGGTAGGGTTTTTGTGCATGTCTTTCTTCTATTTTTGCATGTTTTCATGGTTGGTTCTTTCTCATCCTTGAAGAGGCCTTTCCTGACTAATTCACCTAAATAGGTTTCCTATCTGCTGCTGCACCACAAGTTACTCTATAAGACTTCCCTGTTTTTTCCCTTTCTAGTTTTCATCATAAGTGCCCCTTTCTCCAGGATGCAATTGCATAGAGGCAGAAAACTAATTCTTTAGCTCACTGAATAGCCCCATCACCAAGCCTATCCATAGCAGTTAGTTAATGAATATATATTAAATTAATGAACTTCTGATTTAGGCATCCCCGAAAAACTCTGCCATTATCTTTCAGAGGAAGAGACAGCATCGTTAAAATAATAAAACTCATGACTAGAGCCTATGACTTGAAAGAGATTTAGTGAAAGCGTTGAGCCCTGACCTTGCTAGAGCTTCTTCATTGACTCACAGAGGTTGAGGGCTGAAAGGCTATGAGAAAATATCAAACTAGAAGTTGGGCATTTATAAGTTGTAACATATGGCAAAGTTATATGTTATTTAGGTACCCATCTCAAAGAGTCTGCCTGTGTTGTCTCTATGAATCTTTGAAATATGAATGCCTTGATAGGAAGGTGTTTTTGTTTGGTTTGGTTTGGGTTGGGTTTGAGGCCATACCTGGTGGTGCTCAAGGGCATACTCCTACTCTAGGTCCAGAGACTACTCTTGTCAGTGCTTAGAGACTGCTAGAGATCAAACTGGAGCTGGCCGCATGCAAGGCAGATGCCTTAACCCCGATGTTCTCTCTCCAACTCAGGGTATAGATAGGTTCTTAACATTAACTTGATGTTTGTTAACTTGATCTGAAATTAATTTTGTTTATATGACATAAACTTATCTACAGAACATAGTGAAACTAGTAACTAGTGATCTCATAGGCATTCAAAATAAGAAAGTCCATGTCATCTGCCCTAGGACTCTGTACTAGGACCTAAAGAATGGGCCCTCCCTCTCCTGAGGGCCCTGGATCATTCTGTACTCTGCTACTTCTGGCCTTCTGTCTCTTTCCACGGAGTGACTGGTACTGCTTCCTGTGGTTGACCACCTCATGACTTTAATTGGCATATGGACAGACTGTAGCTCTGACTCCATATGACCTGTGGTCTGTCACAATTCATCAACAGGCTGACTCAATCTCTGTCTCCAAATGTCAGTGCACTTGGGAGAGAATCATCTCTTTGATCTATTAATTGACTTTCCATTGGGTCAGATTTCTATCCCTGGTTCATCACCTCACTCATTTCAGTGAGTAAAAGTGGCATGATTGGAGGGGGCAGTGTGAATTTGAGGGACAGTGAGGAAGGAGTAAACTAAAGAAAAAAGTGTTCTTAATTTTAACTGTTGTAGCACCCACTGTGAGTTGTATTACTAAAAGTCTCATTTTGAGAAGAACATAAAAACATAATTAAAAACAGTCCCTAAATATTTCCAAGATTTAATAAATCTGAGGAATTCTTAGTTTAAAATAAGTGGAATTGACTGACACAATGTTATATTTTTTATGATTCAAGCTGGTCTCACTTGAACCTTCTAGAACTTCTTTAAGAATATTTATCGTACCATACCTTTTGAGCTCTCTGGAAACTCAAACAGAAACTTGTTAAATAACATTTCACTTACCTTAAACATTATATGAAGTATGTGATTTTTATGTTTGGAATTATAATGAAATATGTTATATTTTTATATGTATTTGTTCAATGCTCAGATAAATGTACAGTTTTGTAGAGGCAATAAAAGCCCTAATAATTCTTGTGTTGAGTTATTACAAGTATGTTTCCTAAAAACCATCTTGAAAAAGAATGAAGTCATGCATTCAGCTGAAGCAGAGACACCGCAGACACAAAGTTCAAAGGAGAAACTGAGCTAAAGGAGGCAGTAATTTCTACTCCTTTATAATATACTCACAAGAAAAATAAAGTAAACATTACTAAGAAGAAAGATTTTGGTCTGGAAGGTCAGATGGTAAAATGTCAGTATACTTTACTGGACCCAAAGTGAACCCTCCTGGGCCTATATGAGATGCCCATCCCAACTCTCAAGCATTTCCATGAGCATGAAGTGTGACAGAACTTTCTGAACAGCAAATGTTCTGTTTGTTCCGATTGCTCCTGGAAATTCACCACCAATGATGGTTCTGCCATCTTAAAACAGATATGATGAATAAGTGCAAGGGAATAGAGAAGGTAAAGAACAGCAGAGAAGAACAGCCTGATGATGGAAACAGCCTCTGGAGTCACACAGGAGCTTTTAATGCCAGTTCTACTGCTTGCCAACTGGATCCTGGTTAAGTCACTTTACCTCTAGGTTTTCTAATCTGTAAAATGAAGATGAAATACCTAAATTGTACTCTATATTTGTATTTTTTCTGCAAAACCAAGAGAGTTTGGTATAGCTTGGTGTATCACCTGAGTCCAGTGCCTTCCCTTTCCCCTGATGGCAAGGCCCAGGGGCCCAGGACACACACTTTCTTGTGTAGCCCCTGTGAAAGTGGACTATCAAGAGGAAGCACTCCCGTGGTTGAAGCCTGACTCTTTCCTGAAAGACACCTGGGAGCAATTCACCAAGAACAGTAACTCAACACTCATTTTCCTTCTTCCCATCTGGTTTCTGCTCAAGTATTTTGAACAATAGCATAATTACTAATAATGTCAGAGTTAGAGATACAGTATAGGGGTCAAGGCACTTAGCCAACTCTGGTGAGATCCCTGGCACCCCATATGGTTCCCTGAGCATAGCCAGGAGTGATTCCTGAGCACAGAGTCAGGAGTAAACCCTAAGCACCCCCAGGTGTGGCCCCCAAACCAAATAACACTAATAACATTATTTCTAACTAGCATGCTTGGTTACTTTCTGGCTGTTTGGTAGTGATCAAGTTATTAAATCTCATAGGATCAAGTGTCTGTGAAATGGTAGTGACAGTGATCTTCACCAAGGCATTTTAGGAAGATAAAATGGGTGAAATCATAAAGTACTCAGATGGCCCAAAGTAGAGAGAGAGCATGGGAGAAATTGTCTTCCATAGAGGCAGCGGGAAGGTTGGAAAAGGGGCGTGTATACTGGGGACATTGGTGTTGGAAAATGTGCACTGGTAGAGGGATAGTTGTTTGATCATTGTATGGCTGAAACTCAGAATTATATTGCACATAGGAGCAGTCTCCTATCTACAGGTATACTCAGGGCATTACTGCCACCCATGCCCTTTGCCAAACTGGAAAGGATTCTCCTGAGCAAATCACTTGAGATTCTTGGTCCAACTTTGTCTCTCCTTTTTTCTAGCTATTTGTCTTTGTCACTAACCTTGACTCTCCCCTGTTAACTGACTCTCTGGGCACTGGGTATTACAGTGCACCCTGCCAATTCCCAATCTACTTCAGTTTGAAACCACCAAAGACAGGAGTTGGTAGAAACTCATACAAACATGTATCTGTTGACTCCTAAACTCAAATATTTAGATTCTAAAGAGTGAAATCTTCACATCTATATAATGGAATACTATGCAGCTGTTAGAAAAGATGAGGTCATGAAACTTGCTTATAAGTTGATGGTCATGGAGAGTATCATGCTAAATGAAATGAGTCAGAAAGAGAGGGACAGACATAGAATGACTGCACTCATTTGTGGAATATAAAATAACATAATAGGAGATTGACACACAAGAACAGTAGACACAAGGGCCGGAATATTGCTCCATAGTTGGAAGTCTGTCTCATGAACTGGGGGAGAAGGCAGGTGGAATAGAGAAGGGATCACTAAATCAATGATGGTTAGAGGAATCATTTGGGATGGGAGATGTGTGCTGAAAGTCGATAAAGGACCAAATGTAATAGCCTCTCAGTATCTATATTGCAAGACATAATGGCCCAAAGTAGAGAGAGAGCATGGGAGAGATTGTCTTCCATAGAGGCAGCGGGAAGGTTGGAAAAGGGGCGTGTGTACTGGGGACATTGGTGTTGGAAAATGTATACTGGTAGAGGGATAGTTGTTTGATCATTGTATGGCTGAAACTCAAACATGGAATCTTTGTAACTGTATCTCACAGCGATTCAATTAAAAAAAATAAAAGTGTGAAACCTTCTCTTTGCTGTCTCTCTTTGGAACTCCCTTGGAGGAGTGTGGTGATGAAGAATCTCAAAGAATCATGGCATCAAAAGAAAGAGAGTTAGGGGCTGAGACAATCCAGCAATTCTATATATTTAGGGCTCCCTGGTGAAAAAACAAAAATTAAAAGTGCCCACCACAGCTTCCACAGCTCTATTCCACTGATGGCCACCCACCAGTCTCTAGAAAAACAAGTAGAAAAAGGCAAGTGTTGCCGACAGATGGGGGGTTTCCAGGAGTCCCAGTGTAGAGGAGTGTGAGTGCACAAAGGACAGCTCTCTCATGACTGACAAGCCCTTAAAAACAAGATGGTGAGTAAACAATGGGATGTGTGTGCCCATGTGTGTGCACATGGTAGGTGGGAGGGGCTTCACGGGAGTCTGGATTTGATTTGCAGGATAATGAATTGTCCTAAAGGTTTTGAGGGAAGCTCGAAGATTTGATAGCTATTTGAGAATTAGAAGTTTTAT